TTTGCAGTTCTGATATTTTGATTACATAAACTGCAGTCAAGGTGTAAGGACGTCCTGATCCAGTTTTTCAGCTTGTGACTTTAGTAGCTTTAGTACATTAGAGACAGCATTTTTAAAGTTTATTTTTTGTATATAACTTTTCATTGAATATCAACAAATCTATTGTATTTGACAAAGCTTCGCTATTGCTATCTTGAGAATTATCAAACTTTAAAAAGTGGCAATGGCCTCTATGTACAACTCCACTACTTCCTAAAATTATTGTAGCTCTTTAGTTTCCTGTCTTTCATTAGTGGATTATCTGATTAATCTCTTAACATCCACCTCATTTTGGGTAATCCTCACCTATTTTGCATTATCAAATGGAAAAGCAAATAACTTAGGAACTGTAAGCCCAAATTACATGTGCAATACATTTTTTAAAATCTAACACACTCTAGTTTCTGAATATATAAAAATTGGGTGAGTAGAACACAGACTAAGCTGCATCAGTTCAAACATGACTCAAAGTTGTTTTTTTATGTTCTCGGAAATGATAGGTCTTATTTGAACAGCAGTGATAAAGATATTCTTAAGAAAAAGCAGGTTTTATTGTATTGTATTTGTTCTACATCATGTTGACCACAAATGCAGAAAATTTCAGACCTCAAGCTAACATTTCCAGAGCTGTGGGGTTTTGAAGTTTTGGTGTCAGCTTGGAGCTGCGCGCAATGGCTCCACCCGCTGGTAAAAATTTTAATGATGGAATTTTATGCATTCTGAATTATTACCTCAACTTAAGGTCCACTGGGTCGCCGGAGACCCGGTAGGTTTTAAGAGGTAATCCCAGGTATGACTGAGCATTGTTACTGAAGTCAGGCACACATTGATTATTCATTTCATTCTGTAGAAAAAGGGTGTGTTTGATTTCAGAGGTCTAGCTAGACCTGGTCCTTGGACCTTGAAAATAAGGAGGCCTGAAGAGTTTTGGCTATCGGAGCAGCCAGCTCGCTTGGACTTGCAATTAATCTCGGGATACCTAAGGCTACGTAGGATGCACTGGACCTGTCTTTCAAAATGGGCAAAAAGAAGGCTACATTCCTTGGCCACATTTCACTGTGATCTGGTTTAGCCCTCGCTAGTCGATACACGGATGAAGGATCCATCTTTCTTCCCCACAAAAAAAAGAACCCCGCGCCAAATGAAGAGGAGGATGGAGGAATCAACCAGGCATCGAGGGACTCTCCAATGTATTTTTCTAGTGCATGACGTTTCGACCTCAAGATGTTATAAACTCGGCTGGTGGGTATAGGAGCACCAGCTAAAATATCAATACTGCATTCATAGGGGTGGTGCGGTGGTAAAGAACAGGCTTTAATTTTACTGGAAACCTGGCACAAGTAAACACAAGAAGGCATTACATAAGGAAAAATCCACAGTCAACGTTGTCTCCGGAGTATTTCCCTGGGCTTGGAGATTAACCTTCAGAGAAAAGGGGAGATTAATCTGGAGAATAGGATGATGAGTTACTAGGAGGCGGAACACTGGATGTTGTGGAAGCGTGCGGACAAGAAGAGGATGTTAATGCAGCAGTAAGTTGGTTAAGGTGAACTGTCAAAACTTGCATTTGTTCTTGCGCTGCATTTACCGCAAGGCCTAGAGTATTTAACTACTCCTGCTGGGCAGCAAGCTGCCCACCGAAAGTGTCTGCTTGGTCAGTTTAGCCAGAGTGTTCTTCTGTCATGGTTTGAAGGTGTTTGGCCCACATACAGGCACAGGCAGAGAACAAGGAGCAGTTTAAGATGTTTATTTAGGCTACACACGAATATGAAGAGCTAACTACGTGAGCTGCAGGCGAGGTTCGGAACGTCAGTGTTAGGAGCACTGTGGGAGGAAAGAGGAAACTGATTATCACTACGATAGTAAGGTACATCTGCGCTGATGCTGCTTTGCTTACTGGCAGGTACGGATAACCTATCTGGGGAGGGTGAGTGGAAGAAAGAAACCTGTCGCATTCTATCAACGCGACAGGTAATTAGGATGATTGCGATGAAGTGACTGTACTGCAATGACTCAGCAACAACTGTCACTGAATAAAAAAAAATCTGAACTTTATTGTCAAGTAGTGCCATGAAACCGATCAGGGACTACGTATGGCTGGGATGTAAGGTGACGGAGTGCAATATAAAAAAAGCTATCTTGAATCAAAATTGAAAATAAAAGATATTATTACATGAATGAAATAAGTAATACTCTTAACAGGTTTGTGTTGGCTTTTAGAAAAAACGTTTTAATTTAGCCCTGGTAAATCATTTATCATTTAACCTAATCCCAAAGCTGCTTCAGAGCCGCTCTTTCTGCTGAGCTAATCTTTCAACCACTTTGCAAACACTCCCACCAACATGGGCTGGATAAAAGCCATAGTATAGGGTTTGTACTTATGTAGTGGATTTTTAAATCAGTGGACTCCAAAATTGTTTTATAAAACACTCAGTCATTCACGCATAATGGTGATGTCGAGTTACATTGCAGCAACAATTGGGCACACTAGCAGAAGCAAGCTGCCGTGCACAGGCACTTCCAGGCCCTTTGACCACCATCAGTAGAAGATGTGACGTGTCTTCCTTACAGAGATGACTAAGATGGGCTGAGCTGAGGGTCAAACCATGCACAACTTTCTGGCCTCTATCATTTCTCATCTTGGAATAGTTTTCCATCTTTTCTATTTATTTAAATTTAGGTAGGGACTTTAGACCATATTAACAAAGGAATATACCTTGATCTAAAACATCTCATAGCTCTGATTTTATCATCACCATCCTGCTTCATTATAATTTGAAAGAGACTTCCTCTGTCTTTCTTCTGGCTTTCTCTACATCATGTTTTTAATTGCAACCCTTCAATAATTATCAGATTTTAGTAGCATGTACGGTAACTAATTTTTATACTGTCAACAGTTTCCCCCACTAATAGCTGGATTGCTGCAGTTTAGCCATAGTTACAGTCGTTCCTTTGGTTGTTAATAACCAACAACGTTCATGACTTGACTTTGTTTTGGGGTACAAGTAGAGCAAATGTCTTAGGTTTTTTGTAGAAGAAATTAAAGATGTGTATGATTTTCATTCCATTGTAAAAAAGCAATCTTGTTTGGTATTGACCATTATGTTACTCATTGCAAACCATGTCAATGTAAATCATTTTAAACATTTAGTTCCTTTTTCCATGTTTTGGATTCGCACAGATGATTTTTCTTTTGAAGATGTCTAGAAATTTTCTAAAACGGGACTGATGAAACACCACCTTACATTAACTTTAATCACAGGATTTACTTTAAAAAATAATCATTAAGGTATTGAATGGGTGGGTGGGCCGTACTGGGCCCCTATGGTACTCCCAGTTTTAATTACATCTGAGAACAACACACGCATTGCTGGTGCTGGGTGTTTCAGGATGGATGCACGGGCTGGTGCTGGCTTGTTCCTGAAAGTTTCACCCCCCCGGGGCTTGGACATGGCTCGGACGGGGCACCCCTGGGGGCTTGGGTCCCCAGGGCACATGACCTTGTGGCAGCTGGGGGATTTCCTCGGGTCTCTCCTCTTCCCTCGGTGGGGGGGAGGGGTGGATTTCCTGGGTTGGCCCCTCCTTGGCACCTTTGTTTTGAAGATCACTTTGGGCATCTAAGGTTTTGGGTCCCACAGCGCTCGCCTTGGTGCTCTGGGGGGCTGGTTTTTGGCTCTACATAACCACTATTGAGCATTTTTCCTTTGGATAAACTTTACATGCACAAGTGCACTGGTTCCAGGTACTTAGAGATTCACTTCCATACAGAAAGCCCATATTCTTATCTTCATCTACCACGGTACACATGTCAAATAATATAATTATTACTACTTATGCTTCAGAGATAGTATCAAGGTATCAAGGTATTATATATGTTATTCTTTTTACATCTCTTTGCAGGTGATGAAGCAGACTTAAGACGTTTTATCATTCCCTCCGTTTAATCTACCGTACTTTCTTTAATCTTTTCTCCTTTTTCCAGTTTTTTCCTTTCCTGTTCTACTTACATTGCAGTGTCCATATAATCTGTAATACTCCCTGCGTAAAGCAAACAGAACATTATGGCGATAGCCGTGCTGCTCCACTCGTGAAAGCAAAATATGCTCTGCCCTTTTTTTGGCATCAAGACAATTATTGTTATTGCCACATTGTCAGACAGGACACTGTTACAAAAAAAAACAAAACAAAAAGAAAAACATTACCATGAACATGTTTTCTAACCCAAAAGATTTTGAAGGGTTTTAGTGAATATTGCATACAGATTTTTACAGAGGTATTCATTTCTGTGATTTATTTGTTTTTTCAAAAAGAAAAAAAAAACAACGATAAGGATTTCCATTTAGTGCCTAAGTACTGTTTCATTTGTAGTTCTAGAATTTGCTGTCCATATATTAGGTGATTTAGTTTGTTGCTTTTTGTTTGTAATGACTAATATCTTTGTAATATCATGGTTAAATTGTCAGCCTTTAATTTCTGTACTTGGGAAAAATAGAAATTTATTTTTGTAAAACAAATTATTCATAAATTTTGATCATTTGATCTGATTTTAATGTGCTCCACAAACACCATGTGTTTGCTTTCACTCTCTGTACACTTTTGCAAGTGACATGAAAGGCAAACAAATTACATGGTTTGAATATTAAATAATTTATAAGGCTTGATTTCATAACAAATGTGCTGCAGTGCATCATGACAAAATACATGAAATGTACTGAAATGTAACATAGTTTAAATTCTAATCCAGTTAAATTAATAAACATCTCTGGATGGGTTATGTGGGTTCTAACCCCAATGGTGTAATCATAATTTAATCATTGCTGGGATGAGAACCCTGTGGGACAGGAACCCTGAAGTAATCCTTTATTAAGCCAAGCTTTTCAGGTTTAATATTAAATACATTTTTCTTCAGTAGATCATTAGGCATCTTATATGACAGAACCCTCTCTCTTTTCTCTTAACAGCTGCACTCTGATGTGGATAAAGGAGATGGCAAAGTGAAGTATGTGTTATCTGGTGAGGGTGCCACCTCTATCTTCACTATCGATGAGAACACTGGAGACATCCACGCCACGAAGCGCCTTGATCGGGAGGCCCAGGCCTACTACACCCTACAAGCTCAGGCTATAGACCGGTTAACCAACTTACCTGTAGAACCCAGGTCTGAGTTTGTGGTGAAGGTGCAAGACATCAATGACAATGAACCAAAGTTTCTTGATGGGCCATACTTGGCAGGGGTACCGGAGATGTCACCTCTAGGTAAGCCTCCCTTTTTTGTTGTAAACATGATCGGATGAGTTTCTCTTTCAACTCCTGGATCCCTTTCTCTTTGACTTGCCCTCGCTCTAACGTCTCCGTTTGATAATTTTCCACCTCACTGAATTCGTCTTCCTATTTCTGCCTCTAGGTCATCAGGTGGGATGGGACGTGTCTTGTGTTAATATGAGTCCAACACTTTGAAAGACTGAAAATTGTGCTCATCAAAACTGACACACATGAAATGTTGCTTTTTTGTGAGCTTCATGTAAGGTCAAGGTTAAACCTTTAGCAGTTTTGTTTCTCTTTGTCAGATATTAAATATAAAAATATGCTCACAAATAAGAACAGGGATATTTCTCCATTTAAACAGGCTTTAAAAGGTTTTGCATTTTTTTTGTTTTCTTTTATTCTCATTATCATTATTGCTTAGTAGGACATGTAGTTTGTGCGAGTTATAATAGGATGTTGTGAAGCGAACCAAGATTTTAAGAGTACTTTATTTACTTGTTTCATTTTGTTTAAAATGGTAATTATTTTTTATTTCGTTGTTTGGTGCAGTATAAAAGCGACAGTAGAATTGTTGTACTGTATAAGTGAAATTATACTTGGATAAATACAAAAAGTATCAACTAGGGGTGTGCAAAAAAAAATAATTCTAAAGTATAGCTGTGTTCTCACCAGTGGAGGTATCCTGTCCAGTTTTTGAGATGTGTAGGGAGGTTTGTGTGCCGTCTGATTTTTTTTTTTATGTTAGAAAAAAGGAGGAGGAAATGTAACATCTTTGCAGAGTTGCAGTAATCCAAGCACAATGTTATATTAAAGCATAGTGTATGAGAATGTGGGTGCTTGGTGAAAACCCTGTATATCTCACTGAAAGAAATGTGTAAGTATGAAGCTAATTTTTATACCATATTTTAGTTTTTAAAACCTTGTTGAACATGTAAAGATTGTTCGTTTTTTTTTTTTTAGATAAATGGTGGTGTAAGATGTGTTTTACAAAATGAATTGTTGACAGTTATATATTTTTTCTTAACAGAAACTGTTGCCCACCATTCAGTTGCCACCCTTGCTAGTTAAAGTACCACATCCATATTTTTTTATTTGGTATAGTTTAATACTGTGAAATCAGACATAGCATGTAGCTGAATTAAATATAAAGCTGATAGTTCCTGAAATGTGGCAGTATATTTAGTAAGTTGCTTGATGGGATAAATTTAAGGTGCATTCTGGTTTTTAGTTTGAAATAATTCGAAAAAATGAAAAATGAAAATTAGCCATTAAATTAGATACTCATTTATATGGGTATGGCACGTTGTGGGGTTTGGGTTGCTTTTGTCATGGTTTTGGTTCTGTTTAAGTTTTAGCTTGAGTTTTTATTGGTTTTTATTTCCATTTTGTGTTATTCTAGCAATTTTTGATTGGAGTTCTTAGGTATTTCTTGTTTGCCCCCTGTTGCCCTCTTGTGTTCTCCTTTTCTACAATCCTCACACGTGTTCACAGCTGCACCCAATCTGCTGATTAGCCTGGCTCACTCACTCTTGCTGGTTTGTCATTATTTATTTACCCCCTTGTTGTGAGTATTCCTGGTTCTTAGTTTTTGTGGACTTGTGTTTTGCTTCTGATGCAATAAATCTGCAAATAACACCCTTCAGCTTAAATCTGTATTTGGGTCCTCTTGTCAAACCTCACCCCACTGTGACAGTACAAACCAGCCAGATATCGAAATAAAATCAATGAAAACTCAAAAATAAAACTTTAACAGAACCAAAACCATGACAGGGACATTGCAGGACCCAATGCCTGGACCCAACGAGGGGAATAGGTGTTTTCTAGCCAGGGGTCATGTTTAGGACTAAAGTGTGAATTGAGTTTAGGTTAGGGTTAGGATCACGGTTAAGGGCTGGTTATACTCCCCGCAGCAGTGTGTTATAGTGAGCTAGTCACAGACATTTTTTATTTATGCCCAATCTCGAAGCGTGGTCTGCGCTGTTATTCCATGCCATAATGCAAGAGGGACAATCACAAACTAGCTGTGGGTCAAGATACAGGCGAGGCGGTCAGGAAGTGGGGGCAAGTTTTTTTTAGAAGAAGGGAGGGACATGAGGGCAAAAAAGAGCGGGGATCCAGGTGGAAAAAAGGTCCCAGCGTTCTCGCGCACCTCGCTCTTCTAGCTGGTCCAACTTCACGAGTGGTTTTCCGCAATGGTGGTCATACAAACAAAACAAGCTGGTAAGGTGCCAAACAGGAAATACGCATGAGTAGAGCAGATGTAGATATGACCAATCAGAGGACTCCTGTCTGCGGTACTGTCTGTGGTCACCTACAATTTTGGAGAGGTGCAGCAGAGTGTCTGTGGAGGGGGCGAGACATCTCTGTGTTCACTGCAAAATCTACGCACATGACCTAGTTTCAAAGTATACATCAGCCTTTAGAATGTAGAAATTTATGGAAATCAATGGAAAGGTTCAGCAAAGATAGTGAGACAAATTTGGTTGGGTGTATGCGTGTGTCTGTATGAATGAAACCTTGCAATTCTAATTTGTTCCATAATATACAGATATCTTCATGTTCGTAGCGTTTTAGTGAAACAAGACTTTTCTTTGATTCAGGAGGTACTATCCAGCATAAAGTAAAAACAAGAAAAACAAACAAAACAACATATATAAAAAAAAAAAAAACAGAGACCCCTTAGGGTCCTGAATAAAAAAAAAATGAAATGATTATATCACTCTATTTTTTCAACATAATCCAGCAATCAGTGATGGGAGCTCTTAAAAAAATAATTGTAAAACTTGGTTATATGAAGTGCATTAAGCCATGATAGCCCTCACAATCAAATACAGTGGGGGTATTTCTCTGTCATGTTAATAGATATTTTGGGTAATGTCCTCTCCTATTCTGTCATCGCATATTCGCCTTCCTTGCACATCTGTAATTTCTGCTTCAGAAGTTAATGCTACTATGCCATAAAGGATGGCTAAATGGGTTATATTTTATGTAGGCAATCATTTAAGGAGTTTTATATATACAAACTGAACTGCATAAAGTACATTCTCCATCCTTTTTCCATGAACCTACATCAGACAGAAATTTCTCTGTTGTGGCATGCCTCCAGCATTATTATTTATATAATAGATAATATGTTACCCACAGCAGCATCCCTAAGCAATAAAGTATCCATCAACTGGTTGGCAACCTTAATACAATGATGACAGAAGGTCCATTTTAACATGATTTATTACTCAATGTGGTGACACAAAGTTTAATAAACATTCTTGACAAATAATTTTAAGTCAATTACTTGTTCAAATCCTGAAGCACCACTATAGCTTGTTGACATCAGTCTAAAAATGTAGTTTTAATTATGGCTAATTCATTAAGCTTTATTCAGAAGTTTTTCTATGATGTCAGAAAAAACAACAATAAAACACAATAGTCTCTTACTTTGATCTGTTTTTTTTGCAGTTTATTTGTATGTAAAGAAAGGCAAAAGCTAAAAGTTACAGTTGGTTCTCGTGAAAAAATGAGTAACACATCTGTGGAGTGCCTACAATGACTGAATAAACTTGAAACTGGTCTCACCTGATGAATACAATATTTCTTTTAATTCTACTTATCTCTGCCCATGCTCTCCTACACCAAAGGCAGTGGACTCTGTCAGGACTCAAATGAAACATGATAAATCTCTAAAAGACGAGACAAGTTTAAGATCAAACTAGATTTGTGACCTTTGTTTCTCAATCGTATATTTCAAAAACAGTAACTTTTTCAGACAAAAGCAGCTTCACTCATTGTGGCCAATATTCACAGATAGAGATAGAGAACAAAGCACTTAGCGCCTTACTTACAAGGGAACATCAACAACTCATTGGTTTGGATACATACAGTTCCATACAGTTTATATATTTAAAGCCAATACACAACACATGTCAATTCAAGGAACAATTCAGTCAAGTCGTACAGACTAACTTTTTCTTTCTAAGCCAACTCAGCTGATTGAATTGGCTCAGTGACTTTGCAGGATTCACTCTTCCTGGAAGAGCATGTGGTGACAGTTAATATTTGCTTGCATTATGTCGTTGACTCTACAGCAATCCCTCACGATAAGAATGCATACTTTTTAGGGCTGCAAATCACACTCATCATGGCGATTCAATTCAAAATCGATTATTTTCAATACTCAAGAACACACCACGATACGATATGGTTTGATTCGATTAATTGGTTCATTTTTTTTTTTTTTACAGGCTAGATGATGTTACAAATTTGAAATAAATCAAATAAAGCTGTAATATCGTTATGCATTTTATTTGAGAAACAACAGCAAATAACAGAAGTAAAAAAGTTTTACTCCACCTAGGCCTATTAAAACCTCATTCACTGAAAAATAATAATGCCCCTGCATTATAGATTCTGAAAGGCCTTGCATCAAAAAATGCTGCACAAAATCAGTGCAATGCGTGCAATGCAAAACCTCGGCTCCAGCGTGCCCAGTAGGTATCGGAAGCCTTCGTTCTCCACAACGCATTAGGTACGTATGTCTGTACATATGAAGAACGCGATTGCCTTGGATATATTCCTCGCCCTGGCTGAATAATACCTCGAAACCAGGTCCTCTGCGTAGGTGTCGCAGTAAACAAAAAGATGTCCCCGACCCCTCTGTAGACGCTCCGCTGCACCTCTCACAAATTGTAGGTGACCGCAGACAGTGCCGCAGACAGGAGGACGGCTTGTTTTGTTTTTATGAACAGTATTGCGGAAAACAACTTGTGAAGTTGGACCAGCTAGAAGAGTGAGATGCGCAAGAATGCTGGGACCCTTTTTCCACCTGTATTCCCGCTATTATTTGCTGTCATGTCCCTCCGTTGTCAGACAAACTCGCCCGCACTTCCTCACCACCTCGGCCGTGTCTAGACCTACAGCGTATAGCGCAGACCACGCTTTAATATTGGGCATGAGCTGAAGGAGTATAACCAGCATAAAAAATGTCTGCGTCAAGC